TCTTTCCCCGGCCTCCGGACTCCTTGAGGCAGAGTTATAACTACGACGCCAACTCTTTTTGTGCATGCCCAGCCCACGGATAGCAGTTAACTTCTTTTCCTTCGCCGACCTCTATGCACTTTTTCACCGGTCTGTAGGACTTCTTGGAACTGCATTTTAGGTTTGGCGCAAACCACGCCCACATTGACGCACGCTCCACCCACTAATTGCAGTTGACCTCCGTTCCGCTGTCAGACCCGATCCACTTTTTTCCGGCCTCCAGGACATCTTGGGGCCGAGTTATAATGTTTCGCGGATAACTCCGCCCACTTCTGTGCCTGCCCCGCCCACTAACAGCAGTTGGCTTTACTTCCTTCGCTGACCACTATCCACTTCTTCCCGCTCTCCGGGATTTCTTGGAATCGAGTTGTAAGCCTGGTCGCAAACTTCGTTCACTTCATTGTATGCCACGCCCCGCGCCTACATCGTTTGCGCTCAACATCTCCTCCTCCCTTAACCTCTGTACACGTTTTTTCCGGTCTCTAATTCTTTTCGGAGACGAATTATGAGGTTTTGTCAGGACCCTATGTATCTTCGTGGCAAACCCCGCCCACTTTACAGCATGCTTACCCATCAAAAGCTTCCCACCCTAATCCCTCCGTCAACCCTTAACCACATTTTTCCCGCTCGCCGGGTCTTCTAGAAAACGACTTATAAGAGTGGTAGCAAACTCTGCTTACTTTGGGGTGTGCCACGCCCAAGGTCTATATTCAACCACCCCTCCTCCTTTGATTTCTGTACACGTTCTTTCTGGTCTCTAGTTCATTTCGGAGCCGAATTATGAGGTTTTGTGGGGAGCGCAATCGAGCTATGTATCTTCATAGCAAACCCCGCCCACTTTGGTGCCTCGCCCACCGATAGCAGTTGACTTTCATCTCTTCTCCAACCTACCTTTTCCCATTTCCGGAACTTCTTGGAACCGAGTTATGAAGTTTCATGGCAAACTCCGCTCACTTTGACGCATGCCCCGCCCGCCAACAGCAGCTCATCCCCTTCCTTCCTCCAACCCTTATCAACTTTCTACTCGGTCCCCGGAACTTCTAGGAAGCGAGTTATAAGCCTGGTTGCCAACCTGCCCACCTTGGTGTACGACACGCCCAGCCTTGACATTTAACTTCCCCTGCTGTCCTATCCTCTATCCATTGTTTATCGGTTTCTGAGTCACATCGGAAGCGATTTATGAGCTCGAAACCAATCTTTTAGAAACGTCGTCTACTTCAGGAGACGCCCCACCCATTGTGGGCGAGACTCCGCTTACGTCATCTATGCTGGAAATACCATAGACATTGCTTCCCTGCACCTATTTCTTTTCTGCTCTGTAGGCCTCCTCCTAATCGAGTAATGAACATTTTCATTGAGCACCGCTTTTTTAAAGAACGCCCCGCCCACCCAGGGTGGGTCTAGCCGATCCAATCTGGATCTAACGCACACCTATACCCACTGCCCCCCAGTCTCGAGGCTGTTTGTGACTGAATTTGAAATCATGGTCCTCAGTACCGCTCATTTCGATGCACGCCGCGCCCACTGTGAGCGGGGCTCCGCTCAGCTGACGTATGTTTTTCACTTCTCGAGACATGGTGCACCCATCCCAAACTTGACCCTGATCCTGTAGGTTGTTGTTTGCTTACAAGGGAAGGATACCAGGTCGAAGTGGTCTTTTTTGAAGAATTATATACCACTAGATGTGTTTTTGGGCGCTGATCTCGAATCTGTTCTCCATATCTGCGAAACGATTTTCTGGACGTAGTTATGAAGCGCGATAGTGCAGGGCAGCGGCCCGGGCCGACGAGCAAGAGATTGACTTCTTGGCGAGTTCTCAGTTGTTTACTCGAAAACATTGCTCAAAAAACTCTTATGCATGCTAATCGTCAACGACTGCCTATCCTATAAGTGGAAAGAGCTGGCAAGATACTTCGAACACTGTGCGCCTCAATTACAGTGTCCTGTCAGTCGTGCATGCCCACATTTTCGATTTTAGGTCAAAATTTTGGATTTGGACCAAAAGTTGTCGCAAGGGGTACTTTGATGCGCTGAACACGAAAATCACATCTATTTGGCAAGAAAGTGCATGACGCATGCGCTACGGGTGCCAGAGACGGTTGCTTGCAAATGACGCACACAGTATTCGAAGCACTTCGGCAGCTCTTTCCACCTGTATGATTGGCAATCGCTGATGACTGAAACATGAGTAAAACTTCCCTAAACAGTGTTCCCAAGAAAACCAAAAGTAAGAACTTGCCAAAAAGTTGATCCACGACCTCTTGTTCGTCGGCCCAGGCCGCTACCACTGCACTATCTCGCTTCATAACTACGTTCAGAAAATCGTTTCGCAGATTTGAAGAGCAGATTCGAGATCAGCGTTCAAAAGCATATCTAGTGGTGTATATCTCGTGACAAACGGCCACTTCGACCCTGTATCACTTTTCTTTGTTGTACAGGAACATTCGGCTAGACGACAGGGACAGCGGGCAGACAGACCAGACAGACAGACTATGTGAATTCTCGGACAAAACGGCATCAACCCTGTATCACTTTTCTTTGTTGTACAGGAACATTCGGCTAGACGACAGGGACAGCGGGCAGACAGACCAGACAGACAGACAGACAAGACAGACCAGACAGACAGACAGACAGACAGACGACATACAGACAAAGACAGACAGACAACACATACAGACAGACAGACAGACAGTCAGTCAGTCAGACAGACAGGCAGACAGACTTAGCGCATTATATATAGTAGGGACAATTATGTACCAAGCATGAATCCGGGCCTGTAGTATACGAATTATCACTTTATTAGTGTACACAACCACTGATGCTACTGATAATTTGACATAGCAAGTTCGGTCTCGTGAAGCTTGAATCGTAAGATGAATAGCCGAGCTTATTAGACAACGTTAATTACTGTGAAAATGAGAAATGAAAATGAAAAAGTTCATAAAATTGACGACAATCCACTCCAGCAGCCAAAAAAGAGTTGCAGATCGGCTAAAAGCATATCGTTTCTACCGCTAATCAATCCTCTATTGACATTGCGAGTGCATGGAGTTGAAACACGATTCTACAGAAAAAGTCAATAAACACACCTCAATAAACCGATTCCAGTTACTTCAAAATGAACAAAACCCGAGCTTCACCTCGATTTGTTCAACAAATAATAGCAGTCTATCGATCGGCAGTCCGACACTTGGCAAACTGCCAGCGATGGGTCGAGCAGGGTGAATAACGGACCAGGATTTCCTTGACCATAGCTCTCTACCATGCGAGCGTGGTACTGAGAGTGAACATCCGCGCGGAGGGCACAGACGGCACGCGCATGGCGAGTGTCAATGTCCGCGCGATAGATCGTGTCTGATCGGGCAGAGAATCCTCGACGCGCCGTTGAGGAATCTTCAAGCAATATTCACCCTGGTTGAGCGACACGCACACCGCCACAACGAACCACCACATCGCCTTCACCGCGTCGTCGCCGCGCGCGGCAAGTGATATCGCCGCGTGCGACGGCGCTGAGGCAATTTCAAGGGGAAAACCGCGCGTCTCTTCTGAAGAGAGCGCCTACCAACAAGGCGAAGACGGGCAAAGTTGGTGGTATGTTTGTGATTTACCTGGAAACCATCGCTTCCGAGGAGGAGTCATGCTGTTCCTTCCCCTCAAATACGGCGGATCACTATGCATGGCGTATGCCAGAGACGAAGGCCTGCTCACAGAGTCATCGAAACTTTCAAGGGTTGGACAAATCGCTCCACAAGTCATCGGAATTGCTCAACGAACTCCTCTACACGCGATGGTCAGTGGATTACCGTAGAGGATTCAGTCGTGTGTCAATGAGACGGCGACCGTTCCAGGAAGTAATATTTTTTGGTGTTTAGCTCCCACTAAATATGTATACATATTTCCACCTTTTTGCCTGCACCTTTTTAGCTTTTTGTTTTTTTTATGACAGTTGGATCTTGTTAAGGTAATTTGAGCCCCATGTATAGAGCACTTTCCAGGAACGGCTATGCAATTATACTGCTTCAAAATAGTTTCATCAATTACCTGTGAACGACTTCCTGTTCTTCCTCGAATCATGAGTGAGTGGCTGTTGAAATGCTTCAGGCGAATAGAGGGAAATAGAAGGCTGGGCTACTTCAGAAGAGTAGAGTAGAATAGAATAGAATTCCTGTGGAAAACATCAGGAACAGCTTACAGAGAGACCAGTACCAGTATTCTATGGTTAAGCAGAATTTCTGCTTACAGGTCCACGTATAACAGTAAGGTAAGCTACTGGTCAGGGCAGCAATGAGCAATAGAAGTATCGCCGCACTGAATCTGAGAAATGGGAAATATGAATGCCATTCCATGAACGGGACCCGCTGATGGAGGCAGAAAAAAGGAAAAGAATCTGTCCAAAACATTGTAGCTGAGGCAGTGGAAGACTGACCAAGGAGGAGAGTCTGAGCGAGAGCATCAGTGCTGATCCCTAAATGGTGCATGTCCCCCATGTTGCAAATGAGAAAAATAGAAGCAGTTGAAGTGGTGATAAAAAGGCCCTAGCCCTGTTATCTTGAAGTGTTGCTGGAAGCATGGAACACCCGTGAACTAGATTAGTGTTGAACTCTGCCCCATGGTTCCTCTATCTAGGCATAACCTCTGTTGTGCCTTTGACCCATCGGCACCGATATTCTACAAATGAAGCAATCACATTTTTCTAAGCAGCAATTGAAAATTAATTTTTTCCTAGACCCGCACATGCATCTCGAAATTTTGAATTCCATGCTGGTTACTAGCAGTAAAGAGAAACATTGGTATTCTGGACAGTTTCTCTCAATAGTACACGTCCATTTTTTGACAGCCTGAAAACTAATATGTCTACAATTTTGCTCAATTAGCGGAGGCAACAGTGGGGCGTCATTATTGTTCGTGCATATAAAAGTCTAGCAGTGAAAACCATAGTATCACTTCCACAGTTTTCCACCATGGGGAAGTTTCATCTGCAGTTTTTTGTTGTGCTGTCGATAGTAAGTTTCAGTTCATAATCATTGGCTAGCTAGAAAATTCAAACACTTTTAAAGGTGAACCATTCGCTGGTCTCGGCCCAAGGCCAAGCACCAACTTCAACAACGGAATCTACAACGGAGTCCACGACTGATTCGACGACGGAGTCGACATCTGAGCCCACGACGGGGTCGGCAACTGGGTCAACAACGGGGTCAGCAAGTGTTTCGAGTACAGCGGGTAGTGGGGAAACAACGCAGGTCACAACCGCTTCGACAACAGCTTCTACTACTGAAGCTTCGACCACTACTATTCCGTATGAGGGTGAGTATTCAATAAGAAATTCAAACGATTGCATTTTATTACCGATCATAATTTTCCTAAGGACCTTTAGTAAAGTTTTCATTGCTCGCTCTAAGTGGCACCATTTTCTTGGACCAAAACAAAATTTTTCACAAAGAGAATTCAGAGGACAACCGCCTCTGCCCACAAAACCGTGGCATGAAAGACACATTAAGAATAAGGGCATCAATGGCTCACAATTACCGGAGGTAAATACTTCCGACCATAATTAGTGCGACTGAATAAGTCATGCGATAATCTTCGTTCTTTTAAGGTCAAGACTTGCTATGGGGCTTGTCAGAAACAAGAGAGGAAGAACACTGCCAACGGCGTCCAACATGAGACATTTGGTAATTTGAAATTCAATGCTACAGGTTTTACTTACGCGCATTTTTGGCGCAGTGGCAACAGGAATCATGTCACACTGGGTAGTTTTGGTGTCAGCAGGTATAGTCCCCAAAAAGAACATTTTCCACGAAGCGATTTTGCATTCAAATGCTTTTAAAATACCATTTGCAGGAATACAATTGCTCAAGTGAAGAATGGGCCAGGAAATCTGCGGTAAGGTGCTCTGTAATCCCACCTGCGACAATGCCTTCTTTTGTCCAAGAGAACCACGATCTGGTTTTAAAGTCTTTAGCAGACACTAAGGAGAAAGCGCTTATAGTTGTAAGTTTATTATTTTGAGCTCAAAAGAGCTGAATCAGTGGCAGCAATCGCAATGATTTGATGATGGTCACTTTCGGTAGCAAAGGTACCAATTTTTTCGACAATGGACATTCTATTTGAATAAGCCGTGAAAAGACCAAAAAAATTGAGAACTATGACCTTACAGTGATTGTTGACTTTAGACGATTTTGTGGCTTACACGTTGCCTGTTAGGTGATGTGAAGAATATATACATGATTACAGCCGATTTCACGGCCGATTACGTCTGGTGAAATGCACTTTCACAATGCTATTGATTATGATATCATAAATTTCAATAATTGTGCTCGAAAGAGTGACAGTTTCTGTGAGGCGAGATGAGCCCAACTGCATTGCCGCTAGCGCATCTTGCACTGCAGAAACACCACGCATATTCCTTTTGCCTGGCTACCGCGACCAATGTTGCATGTACCTTCCTGGAATAGACTCACTTTCTCGTACTCATTGTCTTTACAAAACAACAATAAACATGTCTGTTAAGGCTGTGAAACACTGGTGGAGTCAAATAAGAATAACTGGCGGCATCGGACAAGGTGTCAGATTTACGCAATACAATGTTGGCACACCGACCGAATGGTTCACTAGGGTTTGACTTAGTGCAGCATTTTGTAAAGCGTTCATTCATCATTTTAGGCTTAAAAATTATCTTACCACAGGAACTGTTCGAAATGACGTTGCTTGCAGATGGCTTGGGCGACCACTGAACACTTAGGTTGCTACGTAGAGTCATGCGATTTTTACTGGAATGTGATATGCCACTACTATCCTGGGTATGGTTATATCACCTTTTTTCAGTTGCAATCTCATAATCGTCTAGCTGAAAATTAGACTCTTCGCGGGTGACTCTTCTTCTAAAACTTTGTGCCCGTCTGCATCCTGGGCTTCTTAGATCCTGGGCTTTGATCTCCTTTGCTTGTACATCAGATGTTCTGACTGAGCCATTGCAGTGGAAATCAGCTAAACAAGCAGATCTACATGAAGGGCGAACCCTGCAGCGAATGCCCTATCGGTACATTCTGTAATGAAGACAAACTATGTGAATTGACTGATGAAATTATTGATTATTGAAATTACATAATTTTTTTGTGTTCCAATATTTTTCCAATATTCATTGTAATGTGGTACGAATGAATGGTTTTGAACATTGACTGCTCTGTTGTTTTGACTGGTAGATGTATCCGATAAATTCTCTCTCTTCCACACTATTATAGCCAGGTTGATCGCCCCGCGACCGCCGCGCACTCTTCCCTACGTAATCTTTATGCCCCTGTTCTCACTTCCACCTGTGGCATCAGCGTCTCTTGAAAAAGAGGTGGTGTACAGAAAGCTTCATATGATAGAGGGCATCATCACAATCATGACACGATGTTAGAATGACAAATATTTTGTGTAGGTCTGTTGTGAGTGGTTTTCCTCCATCCCTTACCCTACCATCCTCCCCGCGCTCCACTCGACCTGCCAGTGCAGCACCATATGGAATCGTTGTGCCGATTAGGTGTCTATGGTGTGTGACGACAACTATGCCATGGCAAAACCTTCATAGCCCTGGTAATACGAGCCGTTTCGGGAGCGGTTCATTTACTCCATGAGCTTCCTTATCATTTCAGTTTGCAGACGGAGAGACGGACATACATTACATACATAAAGACACACATAACAAAGCGACACACCAACTAAGTTACGTACTATATATAATCGGCTAAGCGGTTGTGTGTGTGTTTGACCGGAAATTCGTAGTTGGGCCACAGCAATGATAGCGCCATGGTTCTCACATATGTTTTAGGGGGTGGGATGGGGACACAAGTGGTATACGAAGTGATAACGAGTAATAATAGCTGATAAGAGGGGCTGGAAAGCGAGCATCACCAATTTCGTTTTGTCGTTCATAATGGTACTAGAGCGTTATTCTTACAAGTGTTTTGTGGGGTGATCTCGGGACAATAGTGGTACATGACTAAAAGCGATAGCAAGTGATTAGAGCCAATAAGGCGCGCCAGAACGCTGAAGTCGTCGATTCCGTTGCCCGGCTCGCATTGGCACCAGAGCAACCATACTTACAAGTGTTATGTGGGATGGGACGAGGACATTGTTGGTGGGTGCCATAACCTGATAACGGTTGATAAGGACTGATAAGGAGCGTCAGAACGCAAAAGTCGTTGATTCGGTTACTCAGCTCGCGTTGACGCTAGAACGTTTATACTTCCGAGTTCTATGTGGGGTGGGACGGGGACATTGTTAGTAGGTGCCAGAAACTGATAGCGATTGATAAGGGCCGATAAGGCGCGCAGAACGCAAAAGTCGTTGATTCGGTTACTCAGCTCGCGTTGACGCTAGAACGTTTATACTTCCGAGTTCTATGTGGGGTGGGACGGGGACGTTGTTAGTAGGTGCCAGAAACTGATAGCGATTGATAAGGGCCGATAAGGCGCGCAGAACGCTGAAGTCGTCGATTCCGTTACCTGGCTCGCGTTGACATCAGAGCAACCATACTTACAAGTGTTATGTGGGATGGGACGAGGACATTGTTGGTAGGTGATAGAAAGTGGTCACAACTGATAAGGCTGATAAGGCGCATCAGAACGCAAAGTCGTCGATTCCCTTACGTAGCTTGCGCCGACACTAGAGCGTCCCTACTTACAAATTCTGTTTGTAGCGATACGTGCACATTGTATCGGTATGACCAGCTTACTTGATAGCAGTCGTCTGCATAAACTTAAAAGTCTTCGGCAAATGATAAGCTTCATTTGTGATGCAAAATCAAGAAAGACCAAACTCATTTAATCGCTAATCCTCTCGAGGTTATAAATAATGATGAATGTAAATGAACGATAAGCCTAGCTCTTCACTCATGTAAATAGGTATATTTCGTTTTTACTTTGAGACTGGCAGCGATCCTATTCACCGCTAAGTTATCTGAATTCAAGAAGAATGCTGTATGTTCACAGTTTTGAGACAAATATGGAGTACCTCATGCTGATATTCCATGGGTCCTCCAGTCACTAAAGCCTGCCGTGTGATGCGCGTGATAGCGGGCGGAGCAAAACTGGTATTATATAACCAACGAATCGAACCAATATTATATGACCCTGGAAAAAAGACGGTGTGATGAATTGGTCGGCGGAGAGTGGCATGATGAAATGAAAATTGAAAAAAAAACTACAACTTAACACAACGACCAAATAAAAACGAACGATATACAAAAATCAAACCAAACTAGTGAAGCGGGATTCGTTGGAGACTCCTTGGTAACACAAAGGAGATAACGATAGGACGTGTTGTTGATTTAGAAAAGTAGCCGTAGTAATTGTGACACATTGCTTCCAATGTTCCTTAACCACCAAAATCATAGAAGTGGATTTTAAAGATAAGATAGGAGGAGAGAGAGAGGAGTATAATAAAAAGATTTCATGTAGATGCAATCTCGAGTCGCCATAACAAGTGCGACTTTCGCGCTCGTGGCGAATTGAAGCGAATAACTTCAGAAGTGTTCGAAATATGCATTCAATGAGGCTGCCGCTCGTTGATCTTACCGCAGAGTTCTTCTATTCTAGTAAGCATATGAAACACACCTACACTACCAACACTAACTAAGGTTTGCAAGGCGGAGAAGATCTTCTCTCACTTTTGCTATTTTTTTTTCAAAAATTATGGTCGTGTCTGCTGCAACCCCCCAAGGCCGCAACATAGTCACAGCTCTTCGAATCCACAGAAGCGACAGTGGCCCTGCTCTGTGTCCCGAGTCAGTGAGGTCCATGTTTATGGATATGATCCCTAACTGTGGAAAATTTCCGAGACGCCGCTGGCTTCATTGCAGTCCTGCAAAGATGTAGTGCACGAGCGCTACAGACTTGCGGTAGACGCGTTTCCTCTATTCTTTTCCACTTTTTTATGATCGCCTCTAAATGATGTCCTAGACTACCTTCATATCTACTTTGGGAAAAGGTCAATTTAGGGAATCTGCACTAAATGTATCAGTAGTTAACGCTTTAATATCCCCGGTGTTTTGACCGAACAAGGGAGGTCGCCCAGGGTATGGAGCGCTTTTCAAAACGGTTCAGAAAGGAAAGAGTGCGTCAAAAATGTCTAGGTTAATAGCTCACTCACCTACTACGTAATTGGCTGTGCCAGCCAGGAAAGATCATTTGGTAAACCTAGCCCATTGAATGTTATATATATTATAAATTATTATATTTATATATATAATATAATATATAATATATATATATATATTATATAATATATAATATATATATATATATATGATTATATATATATATTAATATATATATATATATAATATATATATATATATATAATATATATATATATATATATATATATACTATATATATATATATATAACTATATATAACTTAATATTATATAATTATATTATATATTATTATAATAGTTACTATACTCTATATATATATATATACTATATTACTATGTAAATTATATATATATATATTATATGATATATATATTATTAGTAGTAGTATATATTAATATATATATATTATAGATATATATATATATATATATTATATATATACATTATTATATATTATATATAATATAGATAATAAATATATTATATATATTAATATTATAGTATCTATATATATATATTATTATATATATATATTATATTAATTAATAGTATATATATATATTATATATTATTATATATATATATATCCATGTTTCTTCTTCCGCTATCGCGCGCGATCACACGCGCAGCTTTACGAAATTGGCGACCCAGAATATCAGTCATTTACTCCATCAACCATCTCAATATTAGATGTGTAGACCCCCACAGTTTCACTGAGGCCTCATGAAGAGTACTAATAACGT